ATTTTACTTTCACCAGATGTAGGGCTGGCGGGCGGGCGGCCCAGGGAGCAAGCCGGCGGAGCCCGCCCGGCGCTTCCCCTTCCCGGATCGGGTCTGGCGCGGCGTCCCTGGAACCAGCTGCCGCCCGCCGGCTCCCCGCGCCTCCCGCCTCGCCCGCTGCCTCGGGGTCGGTCACGGCCCCGGCCCGGCGGCAGGAAGGGCAGCCCGGCGGTGACCTTGGGATGCCCCTCCAGCCCTCGCGGGCCTCTCCTCCCCCGGGGACTATATTTAGAGCTGCCCGTCCGGGGTGGAGCCGCGCTGCGCCAGAGAGCGGGCGCTTTCCGCTCGGCAAGGGAAAGGCCCTCCTCCCGAGCTCGCCTTGCCGGGGTCCGTGGACCAGCGAGCCATCCCGGGAGCGCGCGGGGAAGATGCCACGTCTCCACGTGCTGCGGGGAGGTTCTGTGCGGGCAGGGAGCTCGCTCGCACGTGCGCGGCGGGGATGGAGGACCTGCCCTCGGCCCCTCCTGCCCCCCCTCCGCAGCGCCCGCCCGTGTTAAGGGGCACTTCGGCTGTGCCAAACGTGAGAATGGCCCCGGTCGGTGCTCTCCTCTCCCCGTGTCTGGCAACAGCAGGTTCACCTTCTGGAGGTGGCCAAGCCAGCTCCTCCCTGCTTGGAAAACCCCCCGTTTCTCTGAGTCCTCCAACTTTAAGTAGCTGCATCCCAGCTTAGCCTAGAGCTCTGACAGTGCATGCATGGGGGGGGGAGTGGAATCCCCACAGAGAGGGCGGCTTGCCCCCTCATGGCCCCGAACCCGCTCCCCACGGCATGGCGAGCGGGGGCAGCTGCAGGGAGGCGCGTGCGCTGGCCACCCGCTGGCCTCTCAGGGTGACCTTGTCCCTTGACCAGCGGGAACCACGGACGCAAAGGGCCTCCCCGGCCCGGGAGGGTGGGCAGATCCGCTGGCTGCCGAGGCACAGGCGCAGGCCGTGGCCGCCAAAGCCTGGGCTTAGGCTGAAGCGGAGCCGGGATTAGATGCAGCCGCTCGCCATTCACTTTCACTCCTGCTGGAGACGGCCGGCCGGCCAGCCACTCGCTGCAGAGCTGGGCAAATGCTCCCCGCTCCGAGGCACCGGGCGCTGCCCAGCGCTTGCGAGGCTGGCTGTGCTGCGCGAGGCTGGGCAGTTTTCACGTGGGGGGGTGTAAATACTGCCCCTCTGCGACTGGGGAGAGCTTGCGAAGGCAAGCTGCCAGGAGGGGCTCTTCCAGCCGTGGCCCCGTGGCAGGCGCTGCCGTCTTGCCCAAAACCTCCCGCACCACACGGGGAGGGGCAGTGGAGGCTGGCGCAAGCGACTCATGGCAGGGCCTCTTGCACACAGCCACTCTCCTGGTGCCCAGAGCGTCTGCGTTTGCCTCCCTGGACAGCCAGGAGTGGTTCCTCCATAGAGGATTCCCCACCGGCCTCTCTTTTCAGCAGAGCCTTGCCTGTGGGACCTGACGGCCTGCAAGAGGACTTGGGCCTTGGCCGCTCTTTGCCCTTCTGACCTCTCTCTCAGCCTGTTTCTTCCCCTCCCAAGATGCTGATCGAAGGATTAAGGTGGCCAACCCCATTGTGGAGATGGACGGCGATGAGATGACCCGCATCATCTGGAGCTTCATCAAGGAGAAGGTACCTCGGCGCGCCAGGCCACGGGGACCGCGAGGGAAGTGGCGGCTTGACTGTAGTTAGACAGGTGTGCAACATGCTGTCCTGCTCTGGAACAGGTAAAGAAAGGGGTGGGGCCAGTGGAGAGGCACACCTTGCTTCCCAAGGAGAACTAAGGAGCGGGTGCTGTTTGCTTTGCCCCAGAGAAGCACAATATAAGACGGTGATAGCGTGGAGACTGCATAGAAATAAAAATGGCATAAAAATGTTTTAATAAATAAATAAATAGAAGTGATTTTGCCAGGTAGTTGCAAACTGGTGACTGGAAACGTCCCAAGTATACTGAGCCAGAGAGCTTGCTAATTGCTCCAAATTAAAGGAAGTTTTATGTATATCTAAGGAATATAACGTTTAGAAAGTTTAGAAAATCTTTCTTCCTGGTGAGAGAAGTGAGAAAATGGGTGGGTGATAATCAAAATAGGCATCGTTGCCTGAGAATAACAGCGTGTGGGAAGGGCCGTTGGTGGCCTGGGTCGTGGCTGACGTGGCCGTGCGTGCCTTGCACAAGCCGGCTCCGGCCCACGTGGGGAAGGCGCGCTGCCCTCCTGACCTCATGGCTTGCCTCTCGACCTCCGTGCAGCTCATCCTGCCCAACGTAGACGTCCAGCTGAAGTACTTCGACCTGGGGCTGCCCCATCGGGACCAGACGGAGGACCAGGTCACCGTCGACTCCGCCCTGGCCACCCAGAAGTACAGCGTGGCCGTCAAGTGTGCCACCATCACCCCTGACGAGGCCCGCGTGGAAGGTGCGTGGGGAAGGCCTGGTGGGGCCAGCGCCTGCAGGTGCGGAGCCCCTGCGTCAGAGCACGGGGAGCCCCGCCGGATCGGGCCGGGGCCCTCCGGTCCCGCCTCTGGACGCACAAAGCGGCTGCCCCAGGGACCCCCCACGGGAGGGCGCGAGACCTCCGCCGTCCGCTCCCCAGCAGCTGGTGCACGCAGGCAGCCCGCGGCCGGCCAGGGCAGTGCCCGCGGATCGCCTCCTCCCCATGGATCGGCCCAGGCCCCTTTTAAAGCCATCCTGACCGGCGGCCGTTAGCGGGCCCCGTGGCAGCGACTGCCCTAGTCCAAGGAGGCGCTGTGCGAGGAGGCCCTTCCTCGTGTCCCCCGCAACCCTCCCGCAGGCAGCTCCTCTGGGGGCGGCTCCTCGCTGATCAGCACCTCCGTCGTGCCCCCCGACTCACCTTTTTCCTAAGCTGAATGGGCCCAGTGGTTGCCGCTCCAGTCTCTGGGTTGCTTTCGCTGTCCTTCTCTGCACCTGCTCAGACCTGAGAATGTCCCTTTCCTGCTTAGGCGGCCACAACTGGAGGCGGTACTTTCAGTGTGGTCTCTCACGCCGAGGATTTGCAGAAGGGGAGTGTGGCCTTGGCAGTTCCCTCTCCCATCCCATTCCTGATTAGGCCTAGCCTGGAATTGCCTCTTCACAGTGGCTGCGCAGCGGGTTGCCTTTTCATCGCGTGCCCACCCTAGCCCCTCCCTCAAGAGGAGCCCGGAAAGCCACCCCTCCCGGAGCAGGCCGCAGACGACGAGGCGGGGCACGTGGTGGGCACGCGTGATTGACCTGAGAGTAACATAGCGGGGCACGGGAGGGAGCTTCCCGCGTCTCTCGAGCTGACAGAAACGGACCCGAGGTCGGTCCCGAGAGAGTGGAGCAGCGAAAGGTGTGCTGCCTCCCGCCGACGGATGCTGGCGGCTCCCCCTTGCTCTGGCCAATGTCTTTTCTCTAATCCTCCTAGAGTTCAAGTTAAAGAAGATGTGGAAGAGCCCGAATGGCACGATCAGGAACATCCTGGGAGGGACAGTCTTCAGAGAGCCCATCATCTGCAAGAACATTCCTCGCCTGGTCCCTGGCTGGACAAAACCCATCACCATTGGCAGGCATGCCCACGGAGACCAGGTCTGTCGTTCAGAAAGGAGAGCGGGGGGCGGCCCGTGGCCACGTGGCCAGAAGCACGGCTGCAGGCCATCCCGTGGCCGAGGGTGGGGTGAGCAGAGAGCGCAGTGGGGGAGGACTGTCCTTGCACCCCTGTTGGCCCTGCAAGAACTGTAAAGCCCGACCGCCCCCCAGGGTGCTTCTCCTTTGATTGCTGCTGCCTGGAAATTGAGGATAACAGCTTATTTTATATTGCAAATTCATTTTATATTTTTAATGTATTATATTTTAATGTTTTGTGAGCCGCCCTGAGGCTTCGGCGAATGGGGCGGCATAGAAACAAACAAACAAACAAACAAACTCTTTACAAATGAGCAAATTTGCTTGCTTGCTCGTTTTGTAAAGAGCGGTGCAGTTTCCACATTTTGCTTGGGATCTGACACTTGAACTTTTGCAGCATTTCAAGGCCAGAATAGAAATATGAAAGCAGAGTCATAGCAGGCGAATGTAGGTGTAACCCTGCTTGGAGGGCCAGGAAGCAAATCGCTTGACCTCAGCAGATGCTGTCAGTGGTGCATCTCCATCACCCTGAAGGACCAGATGCAAGGCTCCTGAATTCGAATTCTCTGTGGCATTTCTTGTGGACAGAGCCAGAGGACAGAGACAGGACTGGGGGTGCTGGGTGTGAAGTGAGCGGCAAAGAGAGGCAGGGGCTGCAGGGAGAGGCAGCCCGGGGGGCAGCGAACCCAGCGAGAGGCGGGCGCAGGGAGCCTGCGGATTCCCGAACTGCGATGGAGTAACGGTTGGAATGCTTCCTTTCCAGTATAAAGCTACGGATTTTGTGGTGGACAGGTCGGGGACGTTCACGCTGGTTTTCACCCCCAAGGATGGCAGCGGAGTCAAGCAGTGGGAAGTCTATAATTTCCCCGGTGGAGGTGTCGGCATGGGCATGTACAACACGGACGAGGTGAGAGCAATGCCAGCCCGGGGTCTCCACTCTGAGAGGAGCAAGTCATGTGGGGCCTGCCCCGGGGGACCCCTGGCACTGCGGCTCTGGCAGGACAAGCCTCCCTGGCCGCCTGCTCTGGGCCAGTGGCCTCCGTTGTGGGCACGGGCGGCCGGCCGGCTCGGGTTGCCCCGCTTAGTGCTCAGCCTGTGTCTTGCAGTCCATCTCGGGCTTTGCCCACAGCTGCTTCCAGTACGCCATCCAGAAGAAGTGGCCCTTGTACATGAGCACCAAGAACACCATCCTCAAGGCTTACGACGGGCGCTTCAAGGACATTTTCCAGGAGATCTTTGAGAAGTGAGTCCTCCGGGCCCACTCTGCCCATGCCGTGGGCGAGAGTGGCCCCCCGTGTCCCGCATGCGCGGCACATGTGGCACTCCCCTGTGCTGGTGTGGCAGGCCGCCCCCTGGGTGGGCTGCCCGAGGAGGGTGCCAGGCGCTCCGCCGCTCCGCAGGCCCCCCGTGATCGACCGCCCGGCCGCCTTGCCTTGCCAGGCACTACAGGACCGACTTCGACAAGCTCAGGATCTGGTACGAGCACCGCCTCATCGATGACATGGTGGCCCAGGTGCTGAAGTCGGCCGGCGGCTTCGTCTGGGCGTGCAAGAATTACGATGGCGACGTCCAGTCTGACATCCTGGCCCAAGGTACGTCCGGGCCAGCTGTGCCCGGGCCCAGCCACGAGAGGGTGTCCCTGGGGCCTCGCGGGGGGGGCAGGGCTGGGGGGTGGCCACAGGGCCTCGGGCCCCCGGACAGTGCTCCCTGCTCAACCCGGGACCAGCCAGCGGAGGGCACGGCTGGCTGCAGGCCCCCCAGCTTGGCCTGGCTTGTGCCCCCGGGGGCCACCACTGTGCTGTAGCGTTCTCAGCAGGGGCGCCTGCAAGCCAGGGCAGGAGGGCTGTGCCCCATTCTGGCCCGCGCCCTTGATTTGCCCCGGGCAAGTCCTGGAGGAGAGACGGGGCAGGGCTGCCCCGGGTCGAGGGAGGGCTGTGCCAGGCAAGGCTGGCCCCTTTGCCCATCTGCTCTTGTGCTGGAGAGCTGCTGCTTGGGATTCAGGGTGAGGGGCCAGTGGCACAGTCTGTGGCCCTCCAAGTGTTTTGGCCTGCAACACCCCCAGCCCCCACCAGCCAGCATCCACGTGATGCATTATGGGAGTTGCGGTCCAGTAATACCTGGACAAGGACCCTCCTGTCACTCCAGCCCGGTTCTACCATCTCAAGTAGTTGCCCCTCCGATGAGGGGATTGGACGCAGCAGGTCAGCTGACAGGGCCCCTTCCTGCTCCTGGTGAATGTGTGGAGCATTGCCAGGCCCTCTCTGAATGCTGCCGGCCACGGGGGCCTCAGGCTGGCAGAGCCTCAGGAGAGGGTGGGCTGCCTCAGCCGCAGGTCCGGGCAGGGGGTCCCGGGCAGGGGCACTTGAGAGGGCTTGGCTGTGTCCCCAGGATTCGGCTCGCTGGGCCTCATGACCTCTGTCCTCGTCTGCCCGGATGGGAAGACCATCGAAGCCGAGGCGGCCCACGGCACCGTCACGCGTCACTACCGGGAGCACCAGAAGGTGGGTGAGCGGGCCGGCCGGCCCGGGGGGTCGGGCGGGTGGGCAGAGCCGGGGGCCGGCTCCGGCTGAGCCCTGCCGCTGCTCCCAGCTCATATGGGGACGCCAGCTGGCCTGCATCCTCCTGGTTTTCGGAGGAGAGCGTTGGCTTTGGGGCAGCGTGGAAACAGCCGCCCTCGCCGTCCTGGTGGCTTTCACGCCGCAGCTGCTTTTCATGGCTTGGGAAGGCGCCGGAGTTCCAGCTGGCGGGAGCAGAGAAACGCCATGAGTCGAGCAGCGGCAAGGGCAGTGCTGTGCTTCTGGCTGCACGTCCTCCGGGGAACAGGGCCTCGTGGGGACTCATCCGGCGTCTCCTGCCTCCCCACAGGGCAACCCCACCAGCACGAACCCCATAGCCAGCATCTTTGCCTGGACGCGGGGCCTGGAGCACAGAGGCAAGCTGGACAGCAACCCAGACCTCGTCAAGTAAGGAGGATGCCCAGCAGGCCAGGCCTCCGGCCCTGCTGTGGGGTGGGTGGGGAGGGCACTCCCCCCCCCGGGATCCAGAGGCACACGGATCCCATTTGGGCTTGCTTAGGTGAGCGTGTGCATAGGCCCAAGCAGCAAAGCAGGAGGGGAGGTACGGGCTGGGGGCACAGTGGGGCGGAGAAGGCCAGCCCACTTCTCGGGATCCCACCCGGCAGCAGGAAGCCCCCCCGCCCTGACTGGCTCCCCCTCTGGCCAGGTTTGCCCAGACCCTGGAGAGAGTCTGTGTGGAGACTGTGGAGAGCGGAGCGATGACCAAGGACTTGGCCGGCTGCATCCACGGATTAAGCAAGTACGTGTTCCTGGGCGGGGAGTGCCCCGGCCTGTTGGGAGCCCTTTCCTGGGAAGGCCTCTGGAATCCCAGCGGGGCTTCCCTCCCCGTGGAACCCCATTTCGGGGTGCGGGGAAAGGGTTCGGTGGCCCAGGGGATGGGCTCCCCCCTTAAGAAGGAGGCCTTGTTCCTTTTGTGCACTTGCAGTGTGAAACTGAACGAGCATTATGTTAACACCACGGACTTCCTGGATGCCATAAAGAACAATCTGGACAAAGCCCTGGGGAAACAGTAGGAGCGGAGGCGGCAAGGAGCGCTTTTGTGTGGAGGCCCCAAATGACGGTGGCTCGCCTCCTTTTTAACTGAACCAGCCGCAGCTGTTCTGACGGCCCACCAGCAAAAGGTTTTTTTTTAAATAATCTTGTCTTCTGAAGGTTGGCCTTTAACCCCTTTTGGAAGGCCCGCGGGGGCCCAGGGTGCCCCCCTTGCTGCTGTGTCCGGCTCGTGGCGTGGCATCTACACCTGCTAGGGAAGGAGAGTGACTGCCCGTCTGGGCCACGTGGAATTCGCCCGAGCTATTAAAGTGCAGCTTTCTGTGGCCTGCTCTCGCGTCGCTGCTTTCCTGCCTCAGCCGCTGCCGCCGCAGGGCATCTGTCCAGCCGGGGAAGGGGCCCCGTGGCCGGTTGCCCCCCTCCCCCCGGGTCACGGCTCCAGCACCCACCACCTGGTCCTTCTGCCAAAGAATATTCCTTTATTGCCGAATTTCTTCAGGACAGGAAAATAAACACAGTAGATCTATGCACAGGTGGGGCGATCCGCCTCCTGGAAGTGACAATAACTTAGCGTGGCCTCGGGCGGAGCGGGGCCCATTCTGTACAGCGGGGGGCCTCGCTGCGCTGCCGGGGGCGGGGGCGCCGGCCCTCCAGGCTGCCCGGGCAGGCCCCTGCGCCGGGCCCGTGTGTCGTCGGGCAGGCAGAGGTAGTTGCGTGAGGGCGGGCGGGACGCGTCCCGGCCCGCCGCAGCCGTGGGGGAGCCTGGTCCAGAGGGGCGCTTGTGCTAGTCTTCAGAGCCTCCGTGGAAGGGGCTGCGGGAGGTAGAGTAAGGCAGTGGATGCTGCTGGGCGGTCCGGGGCGGGGGGCTTCTGCAGAGCAGGTGCTTCGGGGCCCCCAGAGGCGCGAGCGGGCGGGTGCGCGCCCCTTCCCGAGCAGCCCGAGCAGAGCCTTGCCGGGGGGGGGGGCGGGCCCCTTTCCTCCCTGCCCCATGCAGACCCCCCCCCCAGCTACAACATGCTGTAGTAGGCCATCTCCTTCATGGCTTGCTCCGCCAGGGCCGAGGCCGGGGCGCTGCCCACCACCCCGTAGTTGTAGGCGTGCTCCTCCTCGTAGTCCTCGGCCTCCTGCGGGCCTTCCAGCTCCACGTGCCCGGCACTGGCCAGCTCCAGCATGGGGTCTGCGGGGACAGCGCCACAGCCCTGAGCACCCAGCCCGCCGGCGCCCTGGTCCCGCCGCCGGCCAGCAGGGGGCAGCCTCCCAGCCAGAGGAGGCGCCCCCCCCCGCCCCCGCCCCCGCCCGCCTACCTTGGCAGTCCAGGCTGACGTCCATCACGCCGTGCTTGACCTTCATGTGCCGGCTGAGGTTGCCCTTCAGGTTGAACTTGCTGGAGCAGTAGGGGCACTTGAAGGGCTTGCTGCCTGCGTGCAGGTGCATGTGGCCCAGGAGGTTGTACATGCGGTTGAAGGACTTTCCGCACACCTGCGGGGGAAGCGGAGGGCCCTCAGCCGCAGCCCTCGGCGGCTCAGCCCACCGGCCCGGGGCTGGGCCGCAAGGAGCGGGCGGTGGGGAGAGCGCCTCGGGCTGCCCGTGGCCTCCCGCCGCCGGCAGGCTCGGCTCCCTCGGGGCGGCCCGTGGCGCTGGCGCCCTACCTTGCACTTGAAGGGCTTGACGGGCGAGTGCACGATCATGTGCGTCTTGAGCGTCTGCTTCTGGACGAAGGTCTTGAAGCAGATGTGGCACTGGTAGGGGCGCACGCTGGTGTGGATCAGCATGTGCCGCTTCATGTTCGCCTGCAGCGTGAACTCGCGCCCGCACACCTCGCACTTGAACTCTTTCACTCCCTGGGAACGACAGCAGGGGGCCTGGCTGTCACCGCCGTTCCCCCGCCCCAGCGGTGGCAACCTGTTGGGGCATTCTGGGAGCCCCGCGGTGGCCAGCTTGCGCCCTCCAAGCCAGGACGGCGTTGGCAGCTGGTGGCCCTCGGGGCCGCACCTCCAAAAAGGGCACGGTGACTGGTGTAGGCCCCTCCACGGCCCGCAGAGAGCAGGCGGCCAGCGAGGCTCCTGCGTCCAGCCCCAGAGCTGCTGCTGGGATACTGGCAAGGAGTCCTGGCACTGTTGCCCTGGGGGGGGGGGGAGGTGGCAGCAGCAGCTAGCCTCCTTCCCCCTTCTCGGCCCACACGGTGACCTTTCCTCCATATGGTGGGGCACTCTAGGACCAACCTTCTCTGTGGAAAACTGCAGTGTCTTCTGGGCAGATGCTCTATGACTGAACTTCCCATGGCTGGATCCATGGAGCCCACCGAGAGCTGCACAGAACATCTCCTAGAAGACAGTCTGCTCCCCACTGCCAGGGGGCGCTGCGGTTCTGTCCGGCTCCCTCTGCTGACGCCCAGGGGTGCTGCCGCTGCTGCAAGGCACGGAGCCGCACGGCTTGCAGCGCCCCGCTTCGCCGGGGCAGGTAATGGGTGGGTGGCAATGAATGCAGCGCTCCGGACGAAGGGGCCCATGCGGCATCAACAGCTGGAGGGGACGGAATTAAAGTGCCTGAACAGACAGAATTGCTCAGGGAGTTGCATAAACCACCGAAGAGGTGTGCCCGGCTGCCAGGGGCTTAAAAGAGCGAGTCCCCCCTGCACCGCTCAGGGTGCTGACATCTCTGTTTTGGGACAGGGCGGAGCCCTTTCCAGGTCGGCGTGAATCAGGGCCCTGCAGCTGGTGCTTGGGGAGGGGGCACGTTCTCGGGAGACAGCCGCCCGTCTCTGGCCCGCCCACCCGCCCCCTGGGCCTGCGTACCTTGTGGGTCAGCGAGTGCTGCTTGAGGTGGTGGACCTGGCTGAACTCCATGCCGCACTCGGTGCAGACGAAGGGCCGCACGTTCTGGTGCTTGAGCAGGTGGTTCTGCAGCTGGCTGCGGTAGTGGAAGGCCTTGCTGCACTCCGGGCACGGGTACAGGGTGGGCCCCTGGTGCGTGGCCAGGTGGCGCTTGAGCTGGGCCAGCGTGGGGAAGTCCAGGCCGCACTCCACGCAGACGTGGCAGCGGCCGCTCTCGTGCTTGCCCTCGTGGGCCCGCAGCTCGCTCGGGTAGGCGAAGCCGCGCCCGCAGAAGCGGCAGCTGTACGGCTTGATGTCCGAGTGCAGCAGCATGTGGCGCTTGAGGTGGCTGGTCTGCGTGAAGGCCTTGTGGCACACCTGGCACTTGTGGGGCCGCGTGCCCTGGTGGGTGAGCAGGTGGGTCTGCAGGTGGCTGGGCTGCTTGAAGAGCTTGCCGCAGTGCGGGCAGGAGTGGGGCTTCACACCGTTGTGCCCCAGGATGTGCGTCACCAGGTTGTACTTGGAGGTGTAGGACTTCTCGCACAGCCGGCACTGCCAGCGCTTCTCCACCAGGTACGAGTCGTCGATCTGCACGTTGATGTCCAGCCGGTCCAGCTGCACCTTCTTGCTGTGCTCGGTGGGCGCCGCCTCGGCCTCGAAATCCGCAGCCTCTGGCCACACGCAGCCGGCCTCGCCCGGGCCCTGCCCCGGCCCCTTGCCCCGGGGCAGCGCCCCGCCCTGGAAGCGGCAGTCCCGGGGAAAGGCCTCGGCGTGGCCCTGGGCACCGTCGGGGCTGCCCTGCAGCGGGCTGGGCAGAGCCGCCTCGTCGGCCCCCAGGCACGCGTCCGGCCTCTGCAGGGCTCGCAGGCGGCGGGACTTCCGGTTGAAGGTGCTGAGGTCGATCATCTTGGTGGCACTGCTCTGCACTGTCTGCTCCCCACCGGGCCTCTCCGGAGCCCCGGGGCACCCGCCGACCACCTCCTCTGCTGGGGCCGCCGTCTCGGTGCCTGCCTCTTCCTGGAGCGCCTCCCCCTTCTCGTGCTTCACCTTTGGCACCAGCCTCACGGGGGGCCGCTTCCGGCGCCGGGCATGCTTCCCGAAGGAGGCCTCTGCGTCCAGGCCCTCCTCCTCGGTGGCCTCGGCCAGGCCCCTGCCCTCAGGCTCCCGGGGCTCCGTGGCCCCTGCCTCGTCCAGCTTGCTCGGGAAACTGGAGAAAAGGCCCCCTGGACTGACCGTGGCACCAAAAAACTCATGCTCGGACACCAAGCCCAGGACGGCCGCCTGGGCCAGGGACAGCACCACCACGGCATCCGTCTGGGTCCCGGAGCTGGCGAAGCGCTCCATGCCTCACAGCATCAAGAGCGGCGGCGGCGTCTGTGGGAGAGAGATGGAGAAGCCATCAGCCCTCATGCCGAGCGGCACTGCAGGCCGGTGCTCCAGGGGGCGCACGAGTGCAATGGAGAGTCGGGGGCCCGGCTGGCACCGGGGTCCCAGGCACCACACTGCCGTGCCGGAACGTGCCAGCAACTCTGGGCAGAGCCGGGCCTGGAGTGTGGCATTCAGCACACCACACCTCCTCTTTGCGCTTTTGTGCGGGACGCGTTTTAGAGGGGCAGCGGTGTGCTTCACAGATGCTCAAATTGTCTGGTGCCTCGTAGCGGCAGAAGGCTTCGGACCAGGGCTGCGTGCAACCTTCTCGAAGGGAGCTCCGAGCCAAGCATTTCCCAGGTGCCGCGCAGGCCAATGCAGGGCCCGGGACCCGTGGGCCTCCCGCACACAGCCCCTGCAGCTAGCATGCAGGTGGCTTGAGCTCGGCAGCGAGCTGTGCGTTTCTTACAGACACACTGGTGGAGCCTACGCAAAGCTTTGAGTCTAGAGGCAGAGCGCGTGGTGACGGAAATGGTTGCCCAGCTGGGGAAATGAGCACCAAAGCTGATGTGGAGGAAAGGAACAAGCGCGGGGCTGGAGACTGGAATAACTGCAGAGACTGATGGCAAGGCCACACGCGTGCCGGCAAGCCAGCAGGGCAAGGAGCGGCACAGAGCTCTGCAGAGGAGACGGGAGAGGAGGGCAGAGGGAGGATTGGGCGAAGCGGGGCCTCCTGTGAGCAGGCCGTGGCAGGCGGGATGGTGCCCCAAGCCGCCCAGTCCTCCCACTGCCTTTCCACACAGCCACTTCCGCTGGTCACTGGGACTGCCTGCCTTGGCTTCCACTGGTGCCGAAACGGAGCAACGAATTTGGTGTGCCAGGGGTCTCACTCTGGCCTCGTGCCCAGGCTTCTCGGCAGGTTACTTGTCCTTTGCCCCCCCCCCCCACAGCCAGAGTCAAATTGCCAGATGTGCCCAGATGTGCTCTGGGCTAGGTGGACTTGCGCACAGTTGAACCTGAACACTGCTGTCTTTCTGTGCATGAGGGCAAGGAAGGGGATAGAAGGGCGGAGATGCAGCGCTCCCGATTTCAGTGGGAGCTCTTCCTGCAGTGTGAGCCGCAATCCAGGAATTCAGTCTGCAGACCCGAACACTGATCCCAGGGATTATTCCTCAACGTGCATGGAGCTCTCAAAATCTTGCCCCTCAAGACACTGAAAGGCAGCAAGGGCAGAGTGAGGGCCGGCTAACTTTTCTGGTTCCCCTTCAGCCCTAATGCTCTCCCAGTACAGTGAATAGTGAAGCTGGGGAGTGAATAGTGTGGGGGGGGGGGGGGGGGCGTAAATTGACAATGGGAGGGAAACTTTGGGTGGGAGATGTACTCTTGGTGTACTGGAAGGATATCCAAGAGTTTTGGAAAACTGGAAATGAACAGGCTTATTCTGGGACAAGGGTCCGTGGTCTGCAGACCCCGTCGCAGGGAACACAAGGCATGCCACCCTTGCTGGCCAGGAGGTGGGCCGGAGGGGTGGGGGAGCAGCACTGGCAATGGGGAAGCAGGGAGAAGGCACAGGGCCCCTGCACGGGGGGCGGGGGCTGTGAACTGTTTCGGCTACAGCAGCTCAGGTGGATGTCCCTCTGGACAGTTTCACTGGCAAGAAAACGGTGGCTGGGAAACGGATTTTCCTCTAGGATCAAGCAGAAAGGGCTGCAGGGTCCATCAGGTGCTGGCCTCACTGAGCTGCGTCCCGTGGGTGGAAGGGAAGAGGGACTTTCACGCGCTTGTGTGTTCTGCGCAGGCACCTGCCTTTTAACACTGCAGGCCGAGGTGGCCATGGGTGGCGGCAGGGCCCTGGGGGCCTGAAGGGGCTTGGGAGCAGGTGGGGCTGCGGGCGGTGAGGCTGGGAAGCCCCTCGAGGAGGAGGAATCAGGAGTGGGAGCACGGCCGGCCTGTCGCCAAGACAGGGCAGCCTCGCTGGCCGCAGCCGCCAGGGAAGATGGCACCTCAGCCGCCTGGGAGCAAGCATCCTTGCGCCCAGATGCCCCCGCCAGGCCGCCCAGCGCTCCATGCCCGGCAGCGGGGGGGTGGCTCTCTCTCAGGGAGATGCACTGCGATCTGGGGCAGGGAGGCCCCTCCCCAGCCTGGAAGGCCCGGCCAGGCGCCAGGCAGGCTTCCTGCGACTAAGGCAGGAGACCAGGGCAGCCGTCGAGAGCAACCTTCTCCAAGGGCATCACTGGGCATGGCACGGGGGGCCCGCCGGCCCGTCTCGCGTGCAGCCGGCCCCGCGGCCGAGGTCTCCTCGCCTTCGCGCCCAAAGCGCCCCTGCCCGCGCCCCACCAGCCCCGGCAGGAGCGCGCCCGTGTCCCGACCGGCCCGGGGCTGCCACGCCGGGCAGGGGGCAGAGGCGCCCCGCTCTCCCCGCCGCTCGCCCCCGGCCGGCTCCCTCGCGCCCGCCTCCGTTCCCCTGGCAACCCCGCGGCCCGCCCCCGCCTCCCCCGTACTGCAGCGCCTCCCCTGCCGCCGTGGGCCCCGGGCTGCTCCGGAGGGCGAGCCGAAGCCCGTCCCGTGGCCGGGAGCGGGCCTGTGCTGCCCTGCTCCGGCTGCAGGCCAGAGGTGGGGCCTCTGGGCTGCCCAGAGGCTCCGTGGCAAGGGCTGCGCTGCGTCCGCCTCGCCAGCCCCGCCACACGCAGCGGCCCCCCGTGTCCATCCCCAGAACCCGGGGTCACCCAGCCCTGGCCATGGACAGTGCCCCCGGGATCGCTCCACCGTCCTTGCGCACAGCCAGCCAGCCATCCCAGCGCTGGCCCGGGGCTCTTGCTCCACGCAGGTGCTTCCGCCGTTCCCATTCTCCCCAGTAACACGGAGCTGACCTGGCCCGCACCAGGGCGGCCAGCTGCTAGCATACCCACATGGGCACTCTCACACCCCGCCCCTCCCCTCCCCTCCCAAGTGGGGCAGGGAAGGGAGCCCCAGGGAGGGCTACCAGCTGAAGGTGCCAGTGGGTAGGGAGCTGCTGGAGGAACCGCCACCTGGTGCTGGGGCAGGGGCTTTCATGGGGAGCTCTCCCATGCCTTGCCCTTGCGGCCGGCCCCCCTGCCTGGCAGACAGAATCCAGGACACCCGGTTCTCCTTCTTCACCACCTGTGTGCCAGGCCCTCTTCATCAGAAAGGGAGACGCTGGTCTCCTTCGCCAAAGCAGCGTGTTAGTGGGGTTCAGCTGGTGCGGACTTGCTGCTAGAACACCCTAGTTTGGCAATGAACCCCCGAGAAGGTATGGACTGGCTGACATGGTCTCTGAGGGAGAAAGAAGATACAGACTTCCATCAAACCTGGGACTCTTTTTATCATTGGCCAGAGAAACGGGACTATGCATAGACTTAAATATGTTTATAGTTTAACATAAAAAGAGAAAATGTGGGGGGCTGACCCAGTAGGTCTGATGTTTTTGATGACTGATTTTTTTAGTTTCTTTTTGTTAGGTATACTAAGAAAAAAACTTATTCAAAAAGACGAAGGAGGAGGAGGAGGCGGAGGAGGCGGAGGCGGCGGCAGGCTGGGAAGTCGTGCTGGGTGCCGCTTCTGCTGAAGCCCTGCCTTGCTACCTAGTTGCGACTGGCAAAGGCTTGTGAGCTGGGAAAAGCCTGGGCTTTCACAGGGCTCACTGGGAAACCTGCAAAGCCTTTCCGCAGGCCCATTCCCTGGCCAGCGGAGAAGCCCGGCTTGCGCGCCCACGGCCAGGCTGCCCAAGCAGCCCCGGGCAGGCACCCGAAGGCTGTGGCCGCTGAGCGGGACGGAGCCATCTCGGCCAGACCCAGCGCCACCTCTCCCCGCTCTCTACAGCTCTTGGTGCAGGAGGAAAATCCACTGTTTCCTCTTAACGGATGCAGCGGATGTCAGGTGCTTAAGCAGACATGGTCAGGGCCCTTCCTTCCAGGAAGGAGGAGGTTAATGGAGGCGATCATTTATGGACACCGTGGAACCATTCGGCGATGCCGCTTGTAGGAGAGCAAAGATCCTCCCAGGAGCAAGGCAGAAAGGAACTTCCTTGTCTTACAAGGGTCTCTTTGAAAGACTCCCAGTTCCCTTGCTGCAAAAACAACTTTTGCTGAAACAAATCGAGAAAGACTTTCAAGTTCCTCCTTGCTAAAATGACTTCTCTCCCTATATGTTCCCTGTCCTCTCTGAAAATAGAAAAGCTATTTAAAAGCAACAACAAAAAGGGGAACTGAATAGAGGAAGGAAGAAAGGGAAAAAAGGAGCCTCAAGGGGGGTGGAGAGGAACAGAATGAAGAGAGACAAAAAATAAAGGAGGGGGAAGAGAGAGACAGAAAAGCCCTGAACAGAAAGACTGCTTATAGTCTGAATAGAAAGCGCATGGAAGGGGGGAGAGGGACAGAGAGGGAGCGCCTGAAAAGAAATGCACACAGAATGGCCTGCGATGCACAGGCTGTGCCAATCACGCCGCTGCGGAGGCCCTTTCTTCTTTCACATCCTCCCTCCTTCCAGTGCAGGCAGAGGAAAGGGGGAAGGCAAGTTAATTCTCAAACTAACAGAAAATGGATCTGCCCAAATGAAAAATGAAGGATCCTCCTTAGAAAATCACACAAAATGTGGTCAGAGGGAAGCTCCTGCTTCAGCAAACAAAGCCTCCCACAGACTGGACAACCTTCCCTCGCGAACGCTGGGCAAATATTCCAGGAGGAGAGCAGCAGCAACCTGTCGTGAGCCACATCGAGCCCTGGAGCTCCCGGGAAGCAAGTGGCAAAGACCCTTCACGCCAGTTAATACATCACAGCAGGCTGGAGTTTCGGGGCTCTGGGGCCGCGAGAGGAGAGCACGGCTCCTCACAGGCTCTTCTTGGAAGGGAGGCCAGGCTTAAACTCTCACAGCACCCAAAAGAGCCCCAGCCCTTTGGAACGGCCCGTCAGTCGCCAGCAGGCTGCCCGCTGAACGAGCGGGGAACAAGCGTCTGCTCC